TACAAGTACTGATACTGGAGCTAAACCCAAATTATTAATGCTTTTTATTTATTTACTTGTAACTTTTTTCTATTAAAACTGCATTTTATGAAGCCATCCCTTGAAAAAAAACAAATAAAGTGATGTGATATAAAACATGTAAACTCAGTTAGCAGTAAACTATTGTGTGTTCAGGTAAATTTTAATGGATAAAATTTATAATTAGGCTACATACAGCATTTGGTTTTGTGTTCTTTTATCATCTTCAAAGTAGGGCCCCTGAAGCATGCCTACGGCCGCCAAATGTCTAGGGCCGCCCCTGCGCACAAGATCCAGTTTCTAGGGAACACGCTTGATAGAGATTTCCCGGAAGCTGCGCGCGGCACACGTGCGTGAGCGAGACAGCTTGACGTCAGAGAGCGTCGCGCGTTCAGGAAGCCGCGTGTCCGCGTTTGAAGACCGGCTTGAGCCGGTAAAGAGCTGTAAAAACAGGCAGGACGGGACAGAAGACAAAAGGATGTTCATGGGAGAAGCACGGTAGACCGGGGAGGTTTCTGCTAGGTTTAGTTTAGGCATAAAACGGSTTAGAAGCATCAAAAGCAGAGCTTTAATCACATTTCTGTTGAGCCAAAGCCTTATCTTATACACTTCCAAAAGAAGACAACACGACTCGGTATCTTCCAAACTTGCCTTTTCATCCCCGTTTTGTCCACTTTGCCGGTGAGTAAATGAGTAATAACTGTTAGTTATTAAAGCCAGGTTAAATACTGCTGGGATGCTGTCTGACTTCATCTCACAGTAAACTGTTTTCAGTTGTTTGAAAGGTTAACAAATGTTTATTTGTTTAGAATGCAGTTTTTAWTTTGTGAAAACGTGGGACAAAATCTTTTGTCTGTTTGAGTCGGATGATAAATGTGGAGCAACTTGCGTCAGTATAAGTGGGAAACCCTACCACTGCAGTGCGGATCGGATGACTCCAGCAGATGGGGGTGCTCAATCACTTTTTTTTCCTCTAATTAAATGATTTAAAAAGAAACGCAGTACTAAACAACCAGTTGTTAAGTCACAGAAACATAGAGTTTATGTTCAGAGATATTTAAAACCAGTTGTTTCAGACGGAGCTGAAGTTGGTTTCAGATTGCTGCTTCTGGTTCTGGAAATGGCTAAAGGGCAATTCCACCTRGGTAGAAAAAATCTTGGTGAGCTAGATTTTTTTCAGCMTTTTTAAGCTGCCCTAGTTTAAAAATGAAAATACTTATACATTTCAAACCTGGACTAGATTATTCTGCACTTCAGATTATTTAAAGCCAAGTTTGTGATTTGGGAAACCTATATTTGATTACTGACAATCCAATAAAGAGCAATTTCAGCACTTTTTATGCATCTGGACCACAGACTGAATGGCCTGTAAATGAGTGTAAATGAGTGACCACAGACTGAACCTCTAGAACTGAACTCCCCCACCTCTCAAATTTGCATTATTTGCTGTTATTTCAACTTTTCACCACTGGAGACATACGGTTAAATAAATCTCTTGTGGTCAATAATGCAGAACTGCAATGCTTTCGTCTGAATTGTTTTTGTAAAAAGGTTTCACAAGTCATACACTAGATTTTAAACATTATAAATGTAGAATAATCTACTCCAGGTTAAAGAGCACAAGTGTTTTAATTTTACATCTGGGCCAGTTTTAGTTAGGGCTGTGTATTGGCAAGAATTTGGCGATATGATACATATGACAGAGGGATCACGATACGATATATCCCGATATATTGAGATACTACAAGCAAGGTGATATATTGCGATTTTCTTTGTCCAAAAATTCTATTAAATAAAAACCTCTTACAGGGGAAAAAAATGAAAAACTAAAATTCATTGTCTCAGAAAATTCTAATATTACAGACATACTTTTGATACATTTAGCTGTGTTCTGCTTTGTATGTATTTTATTTTATTTGTTTCATATTTCTTATTTCATCCATGTTTTCAATTATTAGACTCAATTTGACAATAAATAGTTTGAAAACATATTTTTTGCAGCTTTTAGTTTTTAATATTAATTTACAATATGGTCACCCAACACTTAACAATAGACTCTACCTCAAGAGGTAGAGGAGCCAAAAGGCTGGCTCACTGCTGCCAACTAGCGGTCAGAGGCTGAACTACAACATAAAAATGAACGGCTGGCAGGAAAGTTGACATTTTAAACCTTAATAAAAAAATCGATACATGGCTTTAGAATATCGAAACAGTATCGGGAAATGAAATATCGCGATATTTCAGTGTATCGATATTTTCTTACACCCCTAGTTTTAGTGTGATCCAGATACAAAAAAGTGGAGTAATCGCCCTTCACAAATCCAGTAAAGCTTTCACAAATCGCAACACTGATTTTAAATATTCTGCTGTTAATGTAGCATTATCCAGTCCAGGTTTGATTAGTGCCTAAGTCTTTTAGTTTTTAGTTAAATTAAAGCAGATTAAAGATGCTGAAGTTAGTGAAAAATTAGGTGGAATCGCCCTTTAGACATTTCCTTGAAAAGGATTATGCAATCAGAGATCAACTTCAGCTGTGTATTAATCAGTTCAACTTATAGTAGGTTCTAATTATGTATGTGGTTTAAATAAATACGTTACAGAATTGTTACAAAAAAAAGTAAGTCTTGATAAGCTGGAACATAGAAAATGTTTCAAAATTTGTTAGTTTTTGAAAGTCTTATTACTTTTGCTGTTACTTTAGATTAGGACTCAATGATAGGAAAATATGCAAGTGTATACCTTTATTGATTAATGTTGCAGTAACAGTATCAGCATGAATGAACACACTTTTTTAATGTGACAAGACAAAATATCTGGTTTTCTAAACAATTTGTGACATTATCAGCACTATCCACAATGTATTCAAGGTTTCAWTTCCAAAGTCCAGAGTCATTTAAAAGAAATAGTTAGATATTTATGTAAGTTTAAACTTCTTAAACTTAAACAACAGTGTTAGCGAGGGGCAATCCTCATGTACACTTTGTTCCTCCAATACAGCCTTTATTGCTGAACTCAGATAGTTATCATGAATTATTCACAGGCCAGACTGTTRCATCATCCATCACTCCTACCTACATGGCACCAGAGATACTGAGCCCAGCGAGAATGCTGAGTCAGCAGCCTTAAAGCCCATCCTAAAAGTGAGCGTGTTATTTGCGATTTATTAAGATCACAGGCTCAAACGATGACAGGTGTAAAGGTGGTCCAGACAGCCCTGTTGAAATGAGGATGTTGCGTGTCACTGATGGAGGCACATCAGATGCAAGAAAATCARYTTTTTCCATCCAGATCCAGGACATATTTTAAGGATTTCTTAACAACCGTTGGTCTGATTACCATGGTAAATATTATGTGTTTCTATGATTAGAAATTGAATTATTCTACAGTGAGTGATCCTGGGGTATTCTGAAGTATGTGCTCTTACAAATAGAAATGTCAAGGCAGGTACAGAGGTATAATTACTTTCTAGGTTTCACAACCTGAAAGCATTGTTGACTGAAAGCAGCATTATTATTTTTTTATGTTTTCCTATCAAATCACTGACATGTTGGTTTCTCCCTCACCAGGTGGCCTGTTTTAGCCATGAGGAATCCCAGAGTCCCACACTGTTTGGGCCCAAAGGTTTACCCGGAGGTGCCTGAGGGTGGCTGGGGCTGGCTCGTGGCTGTGGCCTTTTTCTTGGTGGAGGTCAACACGTATGGAGTCATCAAGACTCTGGGCATCTTCCTCCAGGATCTGATGGAAGAGTTTCAGGAGAGCAACAGTCGCGTCTCCTGGGTCATCTCTATTTCTGTGTTCATCTTTGCATTTACTGGTCAGTCACCCAAGCTCTGCTTTATTTCTCTTCTTGTTTCATTGAAAATCTTTTCTTTGGACTAATTAAAAGTTGTGTTATTGCAGATAAACAACACATAAATATTTGAGGAAGTAAATTAAATATTGGAAAATTAAAATGCAAATTCTGTGAAAATACAGCATGAATGCTGAGCGCTGAATGACTTTGCTGAAATTTTTTAAAGACGCTAAAACTGTGTTGTTAGTTTAAATAAGCAGAGAGGCTTTATTGACCAAAAAGTAGCTAAAAACAGCAGAATAAGAGCTAGAAACTAAAATGATCAAAAAGGCCTCTAAAATTGATCAAAATAGACGCTAAACCCAAAACTGACATAAACAAACAATAGCTATGCTACAATACGTCTGGGATTTTATTTTTTAATATAGCTGAATTTTTTGAAAAATAAAAACTTACAAGAAAGTGGTGTCAGTCAAGCTGAATGTTTTGATTTATGAATGTTTAAAATAACAGAGAATTCAGAGTTAGATCTCAAAAAACACTAAAGAAACTACGAAACACAAATGGCTGCATGATTTTAGAAAATCTTGCGATGGTGGTTATATTTGTAAAACTTTACGATGACGATTTATTTGTTTGTTTGTCTGTTTGTTTTTTCCCCCTTTCTAAGCTGCTCTATGTGACCTTTAGCATTTTTGGCAATCTGACTAAATATTGCATTAGCATGAAAATCTAGGTCAAATCGAGCTTATTGGGGTTGTCTGCATAAAAGTCACTTAAGACTCACACTAAGTAACTTGGAATTATTGTTCTTTACCTTCAGCTCCTGTGGCAACAACATTGAGCAACCGCTTTGGCTCTCGCCCAGTAGTRATGATGGGGGGCTTCCTCATAAGTCTTGGAATGATCACTTCTGCCTTCACCAGCTCCATCACTGAGATGTACATCACTCTTGGCATCGTATCAGGTACTAGAGACTCACAGGCACACCTACAGTGGGTAAAATAAGTATTGAACACGTCACCATTTTTCTCAGTAAAAATATTACTAGAGGTGCTAATGACATGAAATTTTCACCAGATGTTGGTAACAACCCAAGTGATCCATACATACAAAGAAATCAAACCTAGGCCTGTCACGATAACAAATTTTGCTGGGCAATTAATTGTCTCAAAATTTATTGCGATAAACGATAA